AGTCGGGAACACTTTTTAGCGTCTAGATAGTAATAAATTGTATGAAATGAAAAATAAATGACTTATATATTCTAAAGTATTTTATTTTTGTCAGGGCATTTTCAATCAGTCGATCGGTATATGTAAGGGGAGGGCAAACAAACAATTTTTTAAAAAAAAATCCTGACCTTTTTTGAAAAAAAAAACAATTAAAGAAACTACATTTAAGATTCAATAATATTTAAAACATTTCTTAATACTTAGAACTATATTTTAGATTCTCTCTAAACACCACCTATGTATCCCTTCATACGATGGTCCCTGGTGCGTCTGCGCAGTCGTAGCCAGAGCAGGGAGAGATGTCTTCGTCATAGATTTATGTGGAGAAAATAACTTCATCAGCTATGAGTTGTGTGAGGACAATGTTCTAAAGGTCACGAAAATTCACGACAAGTATTACAAGGTAAGAACGTTAAGCAAAGACACAAAAACAACCTAGGTCAGAAAAATCAATTATTTAGTTCTAGATTACACTGATGCATGTACATACAAGTTAAAAAAAATCATGAAATATGTAAAATTTGTTTTCATTTGTCAATTAAAAGTGCTATCAAAGATTCAAGTTTTTCTTTTAAAACAAGATCAAAACGTTGTTTTTAGAAGAAGGGATCTAGAACATTCAATAAAACAATAAAATTTAAAAGCCCTGCCTTTAAGTTGTTCAAAATTTTTCACCAATGTTAAAGTGTAGTACTTTCTGCAAAAGTAGACATACATTGTAACACCAAGGTCAATGTTAGAGGTCAAAGATGTTGATAGTCAAACAAATGACTTTTCGCTTTGATTACACACTTGAATTATAAAAACCCTAGGAGCCGCCATTCAAAAGTAAGCAAGGCTAGTGGTTTGGTGGACAACCAGACTAAATGGCAGGGTAAAAACTATATACTCTTTACCCTTCTATCTATTTTCGATTAGGGGGTCATAAAATGTTATTTTAATACTCATTTTACAGTATTAGTCTAAAAGGAAAACTTCTGCATCTGTAGACAGCATGAAAATTCATCTGTCTTTTTTTCTACATGCTTTCGTTGACTTTACGGAAATTTTTATACATGCATATTCAGATATATTTCCCCACCGGTACGTCACTTGCCATTTATATCATGGAGTGGAGTGGACATTATAACATCGACCTAGAAATCCTCCCCTCTGCGATGGATATAGGAAATGCTGACGGTTTATGTGGATACTTTGATGGTGTTAGGGAAAACGACTTCAGAAGGCGAAACAGTACGATTACAGATGACATCAATTTGACTTATCCTAATGACTTCTCAAAGTCATGGATGTAGGTTTAGATAATTTCTTTTAGAAATGTGCTATTGCTAGGTGACGCTTCACTTGGACATGCGAAGTAAATAATTTTTGTAAATGGTTGCCTTCGTTTGTAGGATTCCGGACAACGAAAATCTTTTCAGTGGTAACTCCTTAGTTTACAATAGTTTGGAATCAGTGTCCTCCATTCTAGTACCTCACTGCGCATGCACGGAGGACGGTAAAACCCAGTGCTCTTACAACACTTTTACACCCTGCAACTCAAACCGAGGCAAACAGTATGAATGTAATGTAGATCTTGTAAAGAACAGAAGACGAAAACGGGATGTTTCCGATATGTCCGTGGAAAGGGATTATTTATTAGTATGCAATTAACTCCTGAAATTTATTCCACTCACCTGTTAAAATATCATGAACTTATTTCAAATTCGTGAAATTATCTATATCCGTTATGGATAGATGCCAAAATAGTGATTTTGAATTAATTTAATTTTGATACTTTTTAATTGAAATATATTAACATAATGATAGTTACATCCTTGAAATATATAAAGAATAATACATACCCTTTTCCATATCACATCCTGTATACCAATATTGCCGAAGGCCCGATGTCTTGGTCGAGTGCTTATATTACAATGCAAGGGCTGAAAATGTGATGTGGAAAAGCGTATGTATTAATATGTTTATTACATACTTAGTAATAAAATGCAGTAAAACATGCATTAAGTTGAGAAGAAAATAAGTAAATAATCATGCATGGACTTCTTAGATACATGTACATGGTCTATTGTCTCATATGATTTGGGTTTGTTTCTACTTCTATTTCAATGCACTTGATCCGTAATTTGAAAATAATCTATTACATGTATTTGTAAATTAAGATTAACCTTATTTTCAAAAAGTTAAAATTAAGAGAATATGAACCCACCAAAAATTGTGTATGATCACAAGTACTGTTTTTGTGGTTTAATTTACTAAGGGTGTGATATTACGTCACAATAGCCGTATCAGCCCTGCAGGGCATGGTTGATACGGCTATTGTGACGTCAGCCTTATTGCATATGCAAAAAACCTGTATTTATTACTAAGTGTGTAATAAAATTACATAATAATAGTTACATCATTTAAATATAATTACATAATAATAGTTACAATCTCCTGTGAAAATATCTTGATAAGATGTTTTTCATTTAACAATTTCAGAGAAGGAAACGTACAATTTCTTACGTACAGACCACTGAATACGCAGAGAGTGTTTGTCTCCAGGCTTTTGAAAATTCTCCTGAATACAACACTTGCCAACAACATGTGTCCGACCTTAGTAATGTAACCTTGTCCAACTGCATCGAAGACATAAGAGTAGGTTTATAACAAGAACTTTATATGGCATATACTGCAATCTTATGTTCTTGTTTCAGTTAACTTGTACAGTAAAGCAAGGTAATAGCGAACACACTATTATGAATTGACTCTAAAAGTGAAGTAATTTCATTCCCCTGTAACTTTATTTTGTATTTGTCGACTAGACAGATATAACGAATTACGCTTATAACTGTGGTAGGATTGGATTTTACATAGTAAGTAAATAACGATAATTCTTATTGGTTACGATCGTTTGTTTTACTTTCGGAAACTTTCTAGCTTTATTCAGTGATTTGGGTAACGTCCTTGTCTGGGTTATACATAGAATGCAGATTTTGATTGGATAAGATAGACACACCTTTAGACAGCGGTGTATTTAAAGTCCAGCATTTCACGTTTACTTCAGTTGGTCTGGAACCTTCTCAAAGGTTCGTACCAGCTCACTTTTTGATAAGATGGGTGGATCCCGGTCTCTGTCTCTGTTTCGTTCAAAATGATTGTCTCGTTCATTTGTTCATCATTATCCTTTTTGTTTTCCTTATTTTTACGTCCATTTTCCAGTTCCTTATTTCTATTTTTGGTAAACCGGTTAGGTTAGGCATAGTAGATTTTTCGTGCAGGGGTGGGTCATTTTCATTCGGACTTAGCGTTGGGTAGGACGGGCTCTGGACATCGTACATTTGTTAGGTAGGCACTATTTTTATTGAGGCTCATAAGTATAAGGTCGTTAGTACATCAGTTTTTGTTGTAAATAAATAAATGTAATATTTTTGTGCTGTTAATAAAATACATCTGTGGTCATAATAAATATTTGTTAATTTGCAAACTCTTGTTATTAAAATTCTTGGGTTAGTAAGTCACTTTCGTGACTATATTGAAATCATGAGGGTTTTTGGTTAGTAAGAAATTGGAATAAAACGCGAAGTACTATTATTAATAAAGAAAGTGAGTGATATTAAAGAGGTATTTTCATACGGTCATTTTCGCTACACTGGTATCGTGGAATTTCCTAAATTGCATTGATACCATGTAGCGAATTCCGGTTACATTGGTGCCGTGAGTGGTACCTTGGTTTGAGGGTAAAACCAAATTCCGGTTACATAACAAAGCAAAACCCGTCCGTCAGAGGGACTTCATTATAAGCTTGTTTAGTGGCTTGTTTTTGCATAAAAGAAGTTTGAATTGAACAAATTGAATGCTTAAGTCTGTTTTCAGTTGACAGGCGATGATAACCTAACACAGATTCACATTGAGGCCGCTCTACAGCAATGTTCTACGTTTGTGTTTTTAAATGCCACATTGCAAGAGTCAGAACCGGAAGTAACCAAAACAATACAAAACCTCTGTCCCAATAACTGTTCCGGTCTTGGCACGTGTGATGGTGGTAGGCTATTTATTGGATCATACGATGTAAAGAGTCTGTGTTTGCTGGTCTTACTTGTATGTACATTGTAAATAAACAATCTCATTTTATATATATAAAAAAAAGAATCTTCAAAATCTAAGGGATAGAAAAATAAGATGAAATAATTTTAGCATGTTGCTTCTTTATTTTTTTTAAAAATAAATTTATAAAAATGATTATTATCTATATTCCATGGAAATCTTTTTTTCTGGCGATCGTCATGTTTATCTTATCATCTTTATTTTGAGGTAACTGCACCTGTGACACTGGATTTGGAGGGAGCGACTGTTCCTTTGATTTACTCGCACCTCCTACAGTAACCAGTGTTCCCGGGGCCGGTCTATGTGATCTGTCCAATAAAGCCTGTAAAGAGGCAACAATAATGGGAAAAACATTCTTTGAAAACATGAACTCAGTATGCTTTCTTAATGTGAAACAGGTACGTCTGAATAGTCATTTATTCAATATATAGGTAGGGGGTCGTCGATTCAAACCCCATCAGTGGCATACCTATGATAAATAATAAATGGAGTGACTATTCATTAGTAAAATGTTTTGTGTTTTAAATACGACCTAAAAAAACAGATTAATGTAACAAGTATACGTTAGGAATCCTTTACTCAATGGCCAAGTAAATCTCTGAAGTTGACGCTGTTCACCACTACACAGTGACGTTTTTTCTGAGCATCTTTTCTTTTTACAGCAATATTCTATCTTATTACTCTATCTCAGACAAAGATTAACCAAACAGAAGAAAGTCAGCAAAGACAGATGAATTTACAAGACAGAACACTATTCGAGGGATTCTGCCCGCTTCCATACGATACAACTGACATCTGGACGACCGAAATAAAGTTCAACATCTCCAATGACGGTGTACGTTATACAGACACGTATAATGTTATTATATACCAATCTCACTGTCAGGAGTATCACAACGAATCAGGGAATGTGTATTTCACTTTAAAGGTATGCCTTGTTTTTTGCACACATTTACTTATGTACAGTCATTTTCAAAGAATTTTTATAAAAGGAAAAACCTTAATTACTATTTACAGGATAATTTCTGTTACATCGATAGTACATGTATCAGCCCCATGCAAATTAGTTCAACCAACGAGTGTCTTTACTGCAATGCAACGAATGATAAGTACAACTGGACAGAAAACCAATGCAAGTCTCTTACTGTGATACATTGTCCATATTTTCCTTTTGTATTGCAAAAATTAAATGTGATTTGAGTTCCTTTTTGAATTATTGACTTCATATGTTAATTAAAATAATTGGACTTTTGTCAACTTAGTATGTGGTCAAACAACAATCGAAAGCATGCCAACAACAATATTACAAGAATCCACATCGAAGGGATCATCGGAACAAAATGAAGAGAAAACAACATCTATTACCACTATTGTGAAAGACGAAACAACATATACAAAAACAATCTCTCCAGTTACAAGTGCAGAGGACGAATACATAAAAGTGAACAAAACCCATCTGATCGTTGGAGTCTCCACTTCCATTGTTGGAATAGTTTTATTAATGATAATCATAGGACTGGTAGCCAGAAAATGTAGCAAATCGTAAGTACTGTAGATCACTTAATTTTCGCGACACCTTATTTTCGCGAGAAAGTCATTGACTCTTTATTAGCGAGACAAAATTTTACGTGGGACTGAATTCTATTATACGCAAGAATGACATTTTCGCGATCAAATAAAAAGTGTTTACAGTATTTATTTCATTGTGCGCATTGTGGTTGAGAAAAACAGCTTTTATTTGAAATGAACAGTATAAAAGATCCCCAGAATATATTTGCTTCAGTTAAACTTTAATTTTATCTTTTAAAACTTAAAAAAAGTGGCTTTCAATGACTTTTCTTTATTTTAACTGTAATAATTTAGAAACTGGTATAAATATTTAGTTATAAATGTGTTTTACATAATTTTTAAACAGAAATGATCATCAAAAAAGCAAACAGGATGATGGTGAACCAATCAGAAACTGGAGAGACCTTGCCTTGGCGGGAAAACAGTACAATGCCAATTCCTTCTTATCCTATAACAGAAATCCCTACTTTGCTCGAGCATCTCTGCATCACCCCAATTCTAATGAAGAATCTCGTTATATAGACTCCAGTAAATATCAGAGATATTGACAACTTTTGTCTGTTCTTCTTCCTTGCACATAGACATTGATTATCCTATTCTTGTGCTATGTTTTGTATATATTATTTGCTTTCAAACTGCTTGAAGAGACATTCTGATACTGTATTTTATAACCTTATATACACATGTATTTGTATAATTTGATAATTTTATTGTGAATGTTATTTTTCCCTTACCTTAAGAGGATTGATATTTGAAATTAGAAATCATTGTAACATTCAAAAAAGTAGATTAATAACGTTATCTGTAATTGCAAAAATTAAATTACGTGCATATGAACATCTCGATAGGTCGTATATGTTTCAAGAATAAGAAGACAAGTTGCTGTCCTTTAAAAAAGGACTGCAATACGTGGACCATATGCATGTGTTTCTAACCGAAATTCAATTTAAGAAAATTTCTAGGTGTAGTAAATATTCATGTAGGTTTGGTTCACATTTTCTACAATGATCTGCCTACTAATGACTGATTGTAGTCTCAAAGCGAAATTGTGAAAAGTTTATCTCCGATTAGACTTTAGGCCTAGAAAAAAAATATGTTTGTTTCCGCTTTCAGGCGAAAAAAAATAGGGTAGGTAGGTAGGCATTTTTTTTTTTTTTAAATTTTTTTTTTCCTTTTCAGACTGCGAATAACATGTATAGTACCAAAACATCTTTAAATGAATCACTGGTAAATGAAAAATAAAACAATTTTTCATGTATAGTACCAAACACATCTCTAAATGAATCATTGGTAAATGAAAAATAAAACAATAATTCTTTTAAAGCTTTTGTATTATTTTTTTCTTTTCAACATTGAACTAATTGCATTTATATAATATTACTTAAGCCATAGTATACGCAAAATACTATTATTTGATGTAAATACAAAAGATATCTTAAAATAGAGATTGTCACTGGGTCATATTCCTGTTTTTGTCATGTTTTAATAAGATGTTAGATTGGGTTTCATTGGAAAATAACAGAAATTCACCAACATACATATTGAAGATGTTTTTTTTTGCATTGTGCATTGTTTAATAACAATGAATCTTGCCACAAGAAAGTCTTGCAAATCATTTCTTTGTTTTTGTTTTTCCATAAGGTCTAAAGGTGGGGTAAGCAAGGCCTTTCTCTAAGCAAGACCCGCACACAGGCAATACAGATTTAAACTTTTCTTTTAAAGTAATGTCAAAAGAGGCGCCTTCTTTTCCACAATAAAAACATAAATCTGTTGGTCCAAGAGCCTGGGATGAAGAGAGTACGCTACTTCCAATGGAGACGAACAATCAATTCCTAATTTCACTGTAACCTTTCCATGTAGAGCGTGTCCTGGCGGTGTTAGATGGGGCACCACAGCTGAAGTTGAATTCACTCATGATCTGTGCAAGTTGGATCTCCTGTCTTCCAGACAGTTTAAATTTTCCATATATTACACGTGGTTTCAAGCACTCTACACATTGTAATGTTGAACGCGCTGTCTGTGCGGTAAAAGTGAAGTCACCTTGAACTTCTGGATCTGTCGTGATGATATTCACACGTTCAGGTGTCGCCTTACCAGGAACTTTTCTTTTCTTTCCAACATTAGGTCTTGGAGTGGCTGGTGCGTTTATGTAGGTGGGTCGATCATCCTTGTTGTTTGTGTTCCATTTACCTCAGAATAACTTTTATAATGACCGTCTTCATCTTCCTTCAAAGTAGGGTCAGGTAGCCAAGACATTTTCTCCTTCGGTATATCTGGAGCAATGCAACAACTCTCATCAGAGCATTTTCTTATCTGAAAGCTGTACTGTCTCTCTTGGCAGTGTTGTTCTTTCCATATTTTGTATGACTTGACTTTGTCTGTATTGACTTTCTGCAGTTTTTCCAAGTTCATCTCTGGAAACTTTTCACGTAAGTGTCTCTTAAACAGATCAATTTCCTCATCAGATACTGGATCTTTCGTTTCAATTGCCTTATCTTTCAGCTTCAGCCGTCTAAATCTACTCTGAATAAGGGACTGAACCGGCTCAACTGATGTCTTGTAGGACTCCTTTAAATGAGCTTCTTTCACTGATAACTGTCTTATCTCTGCCATGCTGCCACATTTTTTTAACAGAGCTTCATCACTGTCATCAAGTCTCTCTCTTTCCAATGAGCAGTTCTGCAAACCCAAATTAAGAATCGACATTACTCTTTCAGCCGGATTTCGCCAACTATGGCCAGGAGCGCACCTACACAGAATTAACATATCAAGGTTTAATTCCAGAAACAAACATATATATAAGCACATTTAACACTCTCCAGAGTATTTCGGCTGGTCCACTCCTCCATCAGAGTACTTGAGCAGAACATTCACTTGATCTTTTTCTTTCAGAAGCTTTGACAGCGAAACAGCATGTCTGAATGGAGTAGATGTTTGGAATACTGAATCATTCACAGTTACAGTGACTTGCCCTCGGACAAAGAGTCATCTGTAGATCTTGGTATATCCATTTGTAGGTAGACTGACGGGTGTAAGGCTGGACTTGGACATATCATGATCGCCTGCCACCAGAATTGTTGACGTTGGTGCAAGGCATCCTTCTCTCTAACGCCTGTACTAATGGCAAAGCCAGGTTCTCCAAGTGGCACTTTGGCTTTGTCGTCGCAACTAAAGAAAACAACGTTGACATCATCATCATTATTCAGCTCAATTGCGCGTTCCTTTTGGTACTTAAAAGAGTATTGCAGTAATGTTTCATCTGGATGACAAGCTCTTAATTGTCTTTTCTGAATTTTATACTGAACTTCGATCTTGGATGTGAATGACCAGGCTGTTTTGGCATACGGATTTCTGGGTGCAAACTGAAGCCTTACAAGTGATTTTGATGGGATCAATGTATTTTCTGGACATCTTTCAATAGCTCTATTCATCATGTCACCTAAAGATATCCATTCGGAGAGATGCGCAGTCGAATGTCTTCTTTCATCTGCTGCTGTTGCTTCCTCAACTACTGATGACAAATGTTGAAAGAACTCGTCAAACTTGTCAGATGGTTTCCCTGGATTACAATGACGAAGATCTGCAATAAGTTCTGTTTCCCCAAGGGATATCAACCGTAATCTCTCTTGAGTATCCGGGTGTGCTGCAGTAGTGGCATCAAGGGTAAGTTCCTTATATATCAAATCTAGAACTGCAGGAGATAAATGCGTAATATTATTTTACCTTCTCCTTGAAGGCTTTTCTCATGGATCTGGTAATGATATTCTTTGAAAAGATGTTTGTTCTTCAGTGCAAATCGTGCCCCATTGGCAAGAATTTCCTGCTCTGACCGGTTTTCTCTAGCTAAAACTATGCACACAGTAGACACAATAGAACCGCCGGGACAAAACTTATACATATCTATTGGTACTGTTAACTGCAGCTCAGAGAAATATCTGTACCTTTGGATGTTATTTTGAAATGGATGTTCCAGGTGTTTATCTTCTTCAAAGAAAACATGGAATTCTCCCTGTCCTGCTCTCAATGCATCATCCAACAATTTGTACTTTTTCTTGAAGATCACAAGGTTTACAACTTCTTCTGTGCTCTACAGAAGTAAATTCCCAACTGTTCTTACAGGGTGTGGTAAATTGTGATTTTTATTTATTTCCTCAGCTTTACTGTCCAAAAAAGTTTTATAAAAAACAAACAATCTGCTAAAGCTTTAATGTCATCATGCATTTCACACCACGATGGACTGCTTTTAACAACTGGCTTCAGAAGTATACTGTATAGGGCCTGGCTGTGGCTTTCTAAAGACGAAGCTGATAATCTTACGGACTTGATCTTTTTTTCGTTTGTTGTCGTTGTAGCTTTGGTACTTTTCGAAACACTTTGGTATGGGTAGAACATTCTTTCTCCTACTCTCCTCATTGATGGTGTCATGATTATTTGTGATGTACCACAAAGCATTACACAGCACCTGAAAATGTAATACATTACTTAATATGAAATATATAGCACTGTAAAAATTTTGAGGGGTATTTGTATTAAGAAAAAATGATTAAGAATTAAGGACAAATGAAATTTAAAAACAATTGTTTTTAATATTTAAAAGGTTTAAAGCTTTCATATAAAATATATATTAAGCCATATATACATGTAACATGTATAAATATTAAATTATATATTTATAAACATGCACACACACAAATACAGATAAATACAGAATACATTAAAAGTGCATACAGTTTTATATGAAATATATATTGCAAAGTGCATTCTAAACTATTTTGAATACTATAGTGTACTAAGAATTTGTGAGTGATATACAGAGTCATAAAGCAACATACTATAGTGAATAGGTATGATACAAGCACTATGTAAAGCTTTGCATTTAATATTATGTGTTCCACATTCAGTACCACAGCCATTTAAATTAGTATATTCAGACACAGTATAAAACATAAAATGTGCCCGAATGTTCAACTCACCATTGGTCTAATTGGCTTGCACACACTTTAAATATAAAAGAAAATTGAAATGCAAAAACTTTTGCAACTATGCTATTTTAAGTTTTAATATTATTAAATGGCGACTCTCATATTAATATACCTGTATGAAATACTGCCCATCACTTTTAGCAATGCTCTTTGGAAAACTCAATT